TGCCTGAGGGTCAGGAGGCTCTACAGAGGGACCTGGACAGACTGGATCTATGGGCTGAGGCCAACTGTATGAAGTTCAACAAGACCAAGTGCCGCGTCCTGCACTTGGGCCACAACAACCCCCTGCAGCATTCCAGGCTTGGGGAAGTGTGGCTGGAAAGCTGCACGGCAGAGAAGGACCTAGGGGTGCTGGTCGACAGCCAATTGAACATGAGCCAGCAATATGCCCAAGCAGCCAAGAAAGCCAACGGAATCCTGGCACGTATCAGAAACAGTGTGGCCAGCAGGAGCAGGGAAGTGATTGTTCCCCTATACTCAGCACTGGTGAGGCCACACCTGGAGTACTGTGTCCAGTTTTGGGCCCCTCACTTCAAGAAGGACGTTGAGGTGCTGGAGCGGGTTCAGAGAAGGCAACAAAACTAGTGAAGGGTTTAGAGAACTTGTCTTATGAGGAGCGGCTGAGGGAGCTGGGACTGTTTAGTCTGGAGAAGAGGAGGCTCAGGGGGGACCTTATCGCTCTCTACAATTACCTGAAAGGAGGTTGTAGGGAGATGGGGATCAGTCTCTTCTCCCACGTTATGAATGACAGGACGAGAGGGAAAGGCCTCAAGTTGCGCCAGGGGAAATTTAGGTTCGATATCAGGAAGAATTTCTTTACAGAGAGGGTTGTGAAGTGTTGGAACGGGCTGCCCAGGGAGGTAGTGGAGTCCCCATCCCTGGAGGTGTTTAAAAACCATGTAGATTTGGTGTTGCGCAATATGGTTTAGGGACCCTGACAGTGCAGGGCGAATGGTTGGACTTGATGATCTTGCAGGTCTCTTCCAACCAGATGATTCTATGATTCTGTGATAAGGATGGACATATGAAACGCTCTTTGGACTTGCAGCAGTGGTGGAGGAGAAGCAGCTTCTGCCAGTTTATCAACTGTGTTCATTCGTAAGGAATAAACCTGAGCCTTAATTAAACATACCGTTATTTAAGCACTGCATTTAAAAACTGTGACTGCCAGTAACCTTTCATTCTGTATGTGTACGAATTCAATGCAAATAGCCAACTAGAACATCCCCACAGATCCATCAGCAGATTTCCACTTTATAAAACCACCTACCCAAAACAGTAACCTCAGTGGCTGCTCATGGGTTTGCATAGGCAAACCCTGAGGAACGGAGACAAGGATGACTTAACTTGCAAGAAAGCACATGTGCTAGGCTGAGAGCATGAAACGAGTTCAGGTGTTAGCCATAAATTGTGTTGAAATTTTGAATCTGTTATGTAAAGCCTTCCCAAACTCCTGTGACACCTTGGGCCAGCATCACAGGAATGGTGGCAACACCAAAATAAATCGTTTTGTATAGTAGAAGGAAACAAGGGAGCTAGCAATTTCTGAATTTTACTAAAATCCATCAATGGAGGGACAGTGGATAATCACATCAGTTTGCAGCTTTTGTTCTCGTTCCTGCAAACTACAACCATGATGGAAGGTATAGTTCCTACTGCTCTTCAAAAATGGCTTGAGCAGGCTTAAGAAACCATCCTGTTTAACTCGCTCTCCTGGTCACTTGGGCAATTGCTCACCAGAGATACAGAAACACAGGAGCAGCAGAAAAAGCCAGACGGCTGCATTTGTATGACCATGTTTCTCCTCTGGAGAAACCTGGAGTTTCAACCCACTGCAGGGCTGAACTGGGTACAACAGCAGAGGTGGCCTGGCTTGTCCCAAAACCAGTGGAGCTGACAACCGATACGAATGTAGAGGTAGAAAACTTCTGCAAGAGTCACCAGTGTGAACCTAACCTCCTCATCCTGAGCAAATGCAGGTGCCTGATTTTGAGGCTGGCCCTGGCACCTTGGCTCCAAGAGAAGGCTGGGTGTTGAGGAGCATCCCTCTGCCTCATTTTTCATGTGACTTCCATCCAGTGCTCAAGGCAACCTCGCTCCTT